TTCCCTACAACTTTGTTATTTTTCCTTCTTGACTACCCAAAAAAATACCTAAATGAGTATTTCAAGGGAAATTCTGTTTTGCTGTGGCAATATTGTTTCATTGTAAGTTTTCTCTTGACTGCTTGCCTCACTTTGCAGGACAGAACTAACAAAAACTGTAGTGCTTCCTGAGTTAGTAGAACTGGCAAGAGATGAGGGCAGCAGTGTACGCCTTGCAGCTTTTGAGACATTAGTGAATCTGCTTGATATGTTTGATGCAGGTAAGAATTTAATTCAGGCTTACTAGCCCAGTTCTTAATGCTTTAATGCATCTTATAAATGTATTTAAATGCTTTTTTTTTCCTGTCTATTCTTCAGACACTTCTGATTTTATTTCATTTATTGTTTTATCCTTTATGTATTTCATGTCTTACAGTGCTTTATACGTAGTGAGTTTTAAGCAGGGTGAACCAGTTGTCCATGAAATCAGTTATCTTCCAAGCTTCTAATGTAATGTGGCTAAATAGAATGAGTAAAATTACTGTATAAATGATAGGAATATTGGGTTGTTAGTTTTTGCTTAATGCTATCAATACTCAGAATACAAAATGTTAGCTCAACAGATGCCACTGCTTGTGGTTTTTTTGCTGTTATCTAATTTTTGCCTGTTAACTGAAGTAAAGCTAGTCCTAACTACAGACTGCAGCCTGCCTTCTGAGCTGAAAAGCCCAGACTAGGGCAATGATATGATATTTGTGTGTGTATCAGTAAACCTTGTTCGTACATCCAGTGTTATATGTCAAATACATTTGTAAATTTTGGAAGAGAAAATATTTCTTTATGTCCCATAAACTGCAGTGTGCACAATTGATTGGTTTTAGAGGTACTAAGCATCAGCAATTACTATTTAAATCCCTTTAATCTTGTGGCTATATGACGCTGAAAGCTTTCTTCTTTGCAGTGAGAAAGTGTGTGTATTTTATAAGGCTTTTCTGTATTTAAAACAGAAAATGTAAATGCTTATATTTTTCTCAGCAGTTTATATCTTTCATCTGATCAACATGCATATTTCATACTTCTACTCCAGGTGTAGGGGTGAGTGTTTGTGTCTTCATGTGAGGAAGGAGACATTCTCAGTTGTTCTTTTGGCATAGTGGTGGTGGGTTACTTACACACATTGCTCTTGGGTTCTTATCACAAGTTCTGTTCAACACTGATTGGGGCAAACTTTAAGGAGAACTGTGACTGCTCCAGTGTAGGGGAACATTCTGGGTAACTGCTGTGCCTTGTCCTTCAACCAACTGCTCTCAGTTTTTTTTCAAGGGAATGCAGAAGACAGTAACAGCCAGCTTTTCTGGCTCTGTATCAATTCTGCTCTCTGATGATTTTTGGGTTTTTTTTTTTTTTTTTACAACTGGAAATGTACAAAGCAGCAAAGTACATGATAGATCATTGCCATAGTATATATGAAAAAAATACTTTATATTGTTGATCACTGCTTGTTATTTGCCACTTCTTATACTGTCTTTTTCCAAACTCTTCAGTTGTTTATCTTCATTAGCAACTTTATATTTTGCATCACATTTCCCACTCCCACTCCTATCTCACTGACTCTACTACTCATTCCTGATACATAAGTGAGGAGCAAATATTTACTGTACAGGAACTTGGTGATGAATTACTAATATACATGATTGCATATAAGATGTATGGAGGAGTGCATAAAGAAGTAAGATTTTGGGGACAATACCATAAATGGACCTTTTAGCAGTTAGAGCTTATATCAGTAAGTATGATAGTAGGCTAATTTTCAAATTATTGAGCCTTTGCATTGATACTATCAAGTTTGTGCTTCTCTTCGTACGTCCCAGTCTTCACTCCTCCCCCACCACCCCCCAATTGCTGTAACTACTGCTTTTAGCTATTGAAAAAAAGTTTATAGAAAGCAATCAAGGATTATTTACAGGTTTGTAAGGAATGTGTTTCTAGAAATCTGGTTTGTGTAGTTTTTTGTTTCGTGTCTGAACTAGAAAATGAACATTTTGAAGGTAGATGACTCAAAGTTATATCCTAGGGTTTCTTTCCTACAGTATCAAAATAATTTTCTTCAGGTCAAACAAAATATTTTTTCCAGCCGTAATTATTTGCTGAATTTTGGTGTTGATTAAAAAATCCTAATCCCTTTAAAACTTGAACTTGTTAAAGTACAGTGGTTTTATTTAAAACAACTCAAACCACATAAATTTCTTTGAACGTTTACTCCTTTATGTTATAAGGAGGCAGAGTGCTTGGATTTGACATAAATGTCTAAATGATTTCTTTCCTCTGCCCGCAATTATTTTTTTTCTCTGTGAATTTATTGCTTACCCAAAAATTTTCAACCTCTTCTCAGTATGTTGAAAAAATTCACTTCCAGCATATACAGATTTTTCTTTTTACTGTCATGGTCATGTTCAGTCTTGATCTCCCTGTATTCCTACTATTGTAGGAAATCTTATTGTAGGAGTATACTGCAGTATTCTTTCTTTCTATCCATGTATTCTTGGTGAATGGAGAAGTTAGTGATGGTTCATTTATTCTCTCTTATCCTTTACTGGGGGATGCTTTTTCCCTAAAAACAGACAAGCAAAGAAAACAGGTAAGGTATTAAAACTTGGGACCTGTATTATGGTAGTATGTTCATCATTCTCTATACCTCTTATTTTCTACCTCCAGTGAGTGCCTGCCAAAAATACTCCCAAGCATGCTTAAATGATATTTTTAATAACTGATTATGGAAGTTGACTCTCTGTGCTTCTTTTTTTGACAAATGGCTAACTTTAAACTTTTCTTTTGTTTTTCAGATGATAGGAGTCAAACTGTGCTCCCCATGGTGAAATCATTCTGTGAAAAATCCTTCAAAGCAGATGAATCTATCCTAGTTTCTTTATCTTTCCATTTAGGGAAACTGTGTAATGGATTATATGGTATGATTTGATGTTCTTTTAAAAAAGTATATTAAAAATGAGAGAAGACTGGAGAATTTGAAGCCCTTGGAAAATATCCAGATTTGAATGTATCAAATGAAATGATAGCTAGGAAAGGAAATATGGAAGTAAAAGTCTGAAATAATGTATTGCAGAAATATTGGATATTGTGAATTTCCTCTTTAGGTGTCCATCTGTTTATTGGGATTTTTATGTTTAGACAGGGACAGAGTTTTTTGTTTAGACAGGATCAGAGATGGAAACAGGGTGGTTTTGTATATTGGTCTGATTTATTTTGATTCCCTCTTGGATATTCTGGAGCTTGTGAGTTGGGTGACTGAATTTTTGAAACTAGAAACCTTTGAAAACATAGTATGTTGTTAACTGCGTATGTTCACTTCTGTGCTTGATATCCTTTTTGAGGCACAGTACGGAGTGTGGCCCATGAGGAACTTCAGGGAAGAAAGGAGACCTAGTGGCATGTGGATTTGCAGCTGCAACTGAGGCCAAATCTCTACCCATAATTTTTGTGGTTCTCACTTGAGCACAGCAGATCTGTCCTTGATCATTCTGCCCGCCATATACCCCCTACACAGAGCGTACCTCCGGAGGGCCAGCGCAGAATAATAGGTTTACATTATAGAGAATTTCCCTCTAGACTCTTAAACCCTTTGATCTTTCTTACAAATCTTTAAAATGATCCTTTGTGATCATGTTATAGACTATCAAAGTGACTGTTGCTTCACTACAAATAACTCAAAAGGGCTGTTCCACAGTGTCAAACTGTTAATTACAGAAACATAGAGCTAGGACAGTCCATCCTGGTTTTATCCTGTCTTCCCAGTCTTCTTTTCTCTAGGGTGAATGACTTTAATTGCTGATCTCTCTTCACCTCTGAACTCTTGTCTGGCAAGTTCATATTTTTCTTGAAGTGTTATGCCTTTGGAGAGCTGAACAAAGTGAAAGAGTTACTTCATGTCTCTTGCAAGCTATATTGCCATTTACTTTTTTTGGTGTTTTTGCAACAGTTGGCAATGGTGTGACATTATTTGTTCAAGTGCAGCCTAAGAAGCTTTTTTTTTTTTTTTTAATAAATCTGACAGCTAGTTAGTCTTCCTCTTTCTTGGCCTTGTGCAGACAATGCAGATCTGGCTAAGCATGGTACCTTATCTCTGTCCTAATGGAATAATAGTCTGAAGTTTTAAGACCATATGTCCAGTTTCTGAAGATCATTTTAAACTCTTATCTTCTGAATTCTTCCTCCAAGGTTGATGTTATCAGAATATTTAATAAGTGAAGTCTCTAATCCAACATCCAAAAAACCAAAATATTGAATATTACCAGAACTTGGATACGAGTCATGTCAGTGAGCCCCAGATAACATTCTCTTAATTGGTTTTCCAAGCAGTTTTGCAGCACCTTTGTAGTTTTTCATCTGTCTTTCCTAATCCCTTATTTTGCTTGTGAAAACATGACCTTTACTGCACCTTCTGTATTCACAGGTCCTCTTCTCCAGTACTAGAAGGAAATGGAATCAGTTTGACAAGTTTTGCTTTTGCCATGTTGGCTGCTACTTGTTTTCTTTTCAGTATTTACAAGTAGATTTTTTTATTTTTCTTCCAATTTTTTCAAAAAATGTGAATCTGACTGATCTATAATTATATAGCATGTCCTTCCCCTCTCCAGCTATTAAATATCAGTACCACTTCAGCCCTTTTCTATTCTGATATCTCACTTACTTAAGATTTCAGCAGATAGTACTTTAAATACTTTTGAATACTGGAATGAAGCACATCTGACCCTGCACATTTTGAAAACCTCTCATGTTTAAGTATTCACTGACCTGTTCCTTCTCTACTTAAAGCTTGAATCTTTGTCACTGTTATTAATTGTACTGAGCCTGATGATACTAGTGAAATTTGAGAAAGAAAATAAAAAGCATTAAGCATTTTAACCTTCTTGGTTTCAATCAGTGATAGCTTTCCTCTCTCCTTTGAGTAGAAAATGGAGCCTTTCCTTGATTTTTCTCTTACTAGTAATGTGGTGGGTTGATCCTGGCTGGGGGCCA